AACAAAGCTAATCTAATTTGAGGAGTTTGAAATCTAATAGCTTTAACACTTTTAATTCTACTTTCCCAACGAGTGTTTGACAAAGATTTTAAGGTAAAATTTGAAATATTATCGAGCAAAAATTTCCATCTTTTTGTCGAGCTTGAAAATAATGTATATATACGTTGGACAATTGCAAAAAATGATAATGCTTTTGTACAAGAATATGTCATATCACAAAGTGTAAGATTAAGACTATGACAAGCACATGACATATATAATGCTCTAGGATTTATATCAAGTAATCTTTTTTGAACTCTTTGGTGTTTACCTTTCATATTAGATCAATTATCATAACATTGACCCCTTATATTATCAATATTAAGATCAAGGTATTCAATTGCATTTGTCAATTCTTTAAAAAGTTCTAAAACACTTGTATCTTCTACTTGCAAAAATTGTAAAAAGTATTCTTCGATTTTAATTTTACTACTTGACATATCTATACAACGGTCAATTAAAGTCATTTGTTCTTGGTGACTAATATCCGGGGTACAATCTAGAATTATTGAAAAATATTTTGACTCTTTAATAATTTTTATAATTGAACTTCTAACACTATGAGCCAATAAAGAAATTAATTCATTTTGAATTTTGTGACCAAAATAATGATAATGAATTTCATTATTTTGAATACGCCTAATATGATATTGCATAACTATATCAAATTCAGCAAATCATTTTAATTATTCCTAAAAAATTATCATTACTGTCTTGATAAAGTTTTTCATTCGAACCTCGAAAAGCTAAATTATATTTAGAAAGACATTTTATAACAGAAATTATTCTAATTAAAACTTGTCTCCAACGTTCCTTTTCTTTTGTAATTTCTTTTTGAATATCTTTATCAATTGTTTGATTTTTATTTAATCTTATTTTTAATTCATTCCAAGTATTCATATATGTTATATGTTCAATACTATTTTCATATTGTTTAAGTCTTTCGGCTAAATGTTTCCAATCTTTAAATCCATCATTTGCCAACAAACATTTAATGTTATTTTTTTTAAACGTTTTACAACAAAACAATATATTTTATCTACATGTTTAGAATAAACTAACTATTTTCTATCAATAGTTTCTCCATTATTTAATTTTATAGAGTAATGGACATATGAAAAATGTCTGAAAGGAAAAGTAAGACTTAATTCTCTTCTAAGTCCATTTTCAATTAAAATATTTTTTTATACTATCAAGATTATCCCAATTTTTAGGATCATAAATATCTAAATAAAAATATCACTATCATCAATTTCTAATCATATTTCATTATTATTATTATTATTATTATTATTATTATTATTATTATTGATAATATTACTATCGACAATATCTTTGCTATTTAAATTTTCAATAGATTTAGAATATTCAATACAATTATCATTTAATTCATCAAAACCCGTAGAATGACCTATATTCTTATTAAAAATTTTATCTAAAGCTAATTTTTGTGATTTTATTAATTGTTCTTGTTTTCTTATTTTTTCTTTTTTCACTTCCTGATAAATGTTTTTTAGATAGCATTTTAAAAAATTTATAAATATAAAGAAAACAATAAAAGAACAACACTACCCGATGAATTTTCCTCTTTTTTGCTTTACTGTCAATTTTTATTGCGTGTTCCTTGCTACCTGCATTGAAAAACTAATAAATAATACTCTCTCTCTCCCATTGAAATGTTACCATTTTTTTATTTTCGTCCGTCCCAAAACAAAGTTACCATTTCCTAATTTAACTTACAATATATTACACAAATGTCATTACTTTTATATTACACCATACTAATAGGGTATGTTTGTCCTTTTTACTACAATCCAATATAATACTAATATTAAAAAATCTATGTGCAAAAAGCAAACGCCACCCTTCCAACGGGACGGGGGGAGTATACATAATTAGTAAAAATATATAAAATTTCAAATTTTAAAGGTTCTAAAAATTAGACATATAAATGAAACAATAATATATATGTATATTAATATCTATATATATAAGTATATAACACAAGACAATTAAAAACAAAATAAAATAATAAAAGAGTTTAATCCCTAAAATAAAAAAAAAAATTAAACCTTGTTAGTCGTTACCTTGATTCTACGGAAAAAATATTTTGAGAGATTTAGAATTTGAATTTTCTTCTTGTTTTTTTTTTCTTTATCTTGTACTTGCAATAGAAAAAATACCATATAATAAATATTAAAAAATCAAATAATAAACATTAACAAAAATATACACTATTAAAAATGTAAAACAATAAAATCTAACCTTATTCTGTACTCCATAGAACAAAATCTAAGAGAATTTCACTTAACAAAACTTTTATTGTTATGAAATTTTAAGTTTTAATTTTAGTTTTGATGTAAAAAATAAAATAAAAATTGATGAATAAATTTATAAACTATCAGGCTATAAGTAAATAGATAAAAAAAATAATAATAATCTTATAAAAAATTGTAGATTGCATAAACAAAAAATCACGTTGTGATTGTGTGAAGATGAATGGATGAAGATGGAGAACACAGAAAGAATGACTGAAGGAAGAAAATAAGAAAATTGAGATAAAACTTAAAAGAAATTTATAAAATGAAAAAAAAAAAAAAAAGTTAAAAACGGTCTAAAAAAACTCTTCAATGCAGAGAGAAATTCTGCAACTTCCTTTTAAAGTTCCTATAGAGATTACATAGAAACTACCATTGCAACGGTACGCCAAAGTCTTTTAACTTTTTTCAATTATAAATTTATTATTTATTTTTATTTTTTAAAACATCAGATATATATATACCAACATGATGGGCTCTTTTCATTTTGGGCCCTGGGCTAGGGCCCTTTTTTCGTCTTGGCCCTGGCCTGATTTTTACTTTGACTTGTACTTTTTGGAATACTCATATGCAATTTGTTTTTCAGTATTAAGATATTCTCTTAAAAAAATATATAGAACTGTTTTATTAGTACTTATAATGACATCATTACTTGAGTTAAGTCATATATTAATAAGAAATAAATTTTATGGGTGTCTCTGGTCAGTGTAATGATCTACACATCATTAGCTTATCTGAAAAAAAAAAAAAAATGTTCTTATTATTTAGAATGTTAATAAAATAATAACCATATTTTCTTATTTAGTAAATATAAACTTCATAAAATTATAAAATATTTCTATCATTTCACGTAAAAGTTTAAAAGATATTCATTTCAAGCCATATTATTTACTAATGTAACTATATATATATACATATTTTTACCTATACACGCACACCCCCAACTCAACTATACCTATTCGGGATTGAACTCCAATCCTAACTCTTAAGAGAGTGATACATCACCGCTCGATCTACAAAAATTTGACTTAAAAATTAAATATATTTAACCATAGACAAAGAAGCGAATTGACAACTAGTGGAGTGATTTTATTAAACTATATGATATATGAATTAAATTTGATTAATTTGTATTAGATTATAATTTCCTAAAAGTAAATACAAAAGATATAAATGATTCATATTATTATATGAACTATTTATTTTAAATTGACTTAACAAGAAAACAAAATTTAAACGTCGAATAAAATTACTCGTTCTGTCCTACATAAAATGTTCATTTTTTTTCATTTTTATCATTTCCAAATAATTTGTCTTTTTTTAAAATATATATATAATTATACACTTTAATCATATTTTAAAATTTATAATTTATAATTTTATTAATCTTAATTAAATTATTCAATTATTTTTATTAATACTTTCTTAATTATTTACTAATTATACTTTACATAAATTCTTATTCTATTATAACGTGGACAAAATAGAGGATTTATTCTATTATAACGTGGACAAAATAGAGGAGAGGGTGGGAATATTATTCTGCATGAGCAATTGTGTAGGTTACTAATAATTAGTATACAAATATAATAATATATGTTGTTTAAAGAATACTATATTAAATATTTATGTTTTAACTATTAAATTTAAAAATATATTTTCTATTTAAAATATTATAGTAAATAATTTCAACTTTACAAAGGATTTGCTTGTTATGTTTTCAAACAAAGATTAATATTATTTACTAATGTTTTTGATTTTTAATAAAAATATATTATTTTCTCTCACAAAATATTATATTAAAATAATATCAAAATCAAAATTCAAATAAAAAATTCAATTACAAATTAAAAATAAAGAAACACTTCTCATATTAAAATTTTATTATTTATAAAACCATCACTCGATATTATTTCTCAATTGCGATTCTAAAAATAATAAGAAACAAAAAAAAAATTTTTACGAAAGTCAAAATGTTAAAAAAAAAAATCTTCAAATACTCATTAGAAAAAGTAAAAAAAGAAATCAAATCAAATATTTAATTTAAAATAATATATTTTATACTTTTCACACAATTCTTCATAACATATATCACATACTAATACAGCACAATACATAACCACCTCCGTCTCCAAAGATAAGTTTATTATTGATAGCCAGTGAAAACTATGGATAAAATAATTTTTTTACTATATTGTGAGTGTATTTTAATTTAAGTGTAAAACATAATGTCATTTATGTAATAATAATAAAAAAAAATATTATGATTTTACGAGGATATGATTATTTATAAAAATAAAATTATTATTTTAAAATGAGCAAAAATAATAAAATATGACTATCGAATTAAGACTGAGGGAGTATTAACTAACATAAATAACATGTGCTATTTAAATCCCATATATGTTCATGTATACCACTAGAAATTTTGGACAACAAACATAGAGCATAAATAAAGTGCACAAGAATGTATAATTGTATATTCACCAATCTATTGTACCCTCTGTCACCAAATTCATGCATGTTTTCATTTATCTATATTATATTTATTTACAAAAATGTCGCAATTATTTATACATTTAATCTATCAAAAATAATTTCTCACTACATTAATACACTCTAAAATACCATTTTTTTTAGGTCACATCAATCAGTATAATATTATAACTTCAAAACCCGTACAGGGAATATTTGCAAGACAAGAGACAAAGCAACAGCGCATTTAAATCCAGCCTCATAACATCAGTTTCTGTTAGATAAAACTTTCCATGTTACACAGCAACATTATACAAATACTTTCAATGATCCAAAGGCTGTCTGAAAGAAGACATCCTATACAGCACAAAGCAGAAGGATCTAAAGTAAACCGAGGAGGCAAGGAGCCCATTATTCATGTTTCGACATTTTATTAATTCAAGGAAAGAATCAAATTTAGTCTAATCAGCAGGGAGATTTTATCAGTACAGTCTGTTTATGGCATCCATGTCTGCATATGGAGAAGCAATTAGTCAGGAGAATCGCTAAGCTAAAACTACTTCATATGTAGAACACATGCAATATAAATTGTTCACTTACAATCTCATCAACAGAAATTATCAGGTAAATCCACATGCTCATGTTGTGTAGATTGCCATCTCTTCTTCTTCTTTGTCCGAAAGGTTGGACACTCTGATAAATAATGTAAACATCCCATTTAAGTTATTTGATCATCAGAAATAAATTCGAAACTTCAGAATGCACAGGATTTTATCTCTATAAAAATTCTTCAAGACAAATATATCGTAGTAAGAAATAAGTCGGACAGGGGACAATGTAATTCCAATTGAGTTTAAAATAAGGTTAACATGGGAGGGCATTTCAGATTGGCTTCAAATAACTCGGAATTTTACCTCCTTGAGGATATATAGAGTTGTAATGAACTTCTGCCCAGAAGCTCAGCGAAATAACTGTGGAAAGAATAATAGTACATTATAATTAATAATTGAGTAAGAAGTTAATCATAATAATAGTAATGAATGATGTAATTTTCCTTGGTTGCTACAAATAAATAATCACGAGAAGTTTTTGTATTGAATATTGAGGATCTCGCATTGAAGAAAAATATACCTCGTTCAGATTTTTGAACGCTTGGCACAATCTCAATGTAGCATGTGTCCTTAAATGATGTTATGACAAATATCTTTACACCATACTGCAGGAAGTTGAGAATGAGGATCAGCCTCCATTAATTACTCAGCAAAGTTCATGTCGCAACACCATTAAGATATTTGCATAGATCATCTCTATTCCGTTTTTGAACAAGAATATCCGAGTATCATTACAGTTATGGTAAAAAAAAAAATAACTAATTTGAGATCTAGATTCTCAATCAGACAATTTGGTGGTGGATCACCAACTATCAATGTTGCAAGTACAGATTTTGATCAGTAAATCTACAAAGCACGGACCTAAACTTTACAATAATTCAAGATTTGTAAAACACTAAAGCATAGGTATGAAGACAATAATATAAAAGAAATCAATAAACAACACCTATAAATAGGTGCTATTAGATGAGATATATACACCACTACTTAGATCAAGAAAAAGTGTGAAAATGAAATTGTTGGTTGGAAATTTTACGCAAAGGCAAGCCACAAGATTGTGAACTATTAGGGTAGCATTGTAATATCCTAAAATGGGAAAATATTTAAGACAACTCATAAAACTCTTTCTAATAGCAAGGTGCACTTCATTCTTGGGAGCCAACCAGTACAATTCCAGAATTAAGTGTACTTAATCTGGGATAGTTTCACAATGAACGACCCATTGGAAACTTTCCCATAATACACTAAAAGTACCCAATTACTCATGTCGATATGTAGGGTCAGTCTATGATTATATAACATTCTTGTGCTGGAGTAAGTTAAGACATTTCTTAGGGTGTGCACAAGTTATAACAAAGCTAGGTGAAATGATCTGTGTTGATAATGAGATTTATTTAATTAGCTAGAAATAAAAAAAGGATTTCAAAGGATTATAAGATAATGGCCATAAGGAAAACAAAATTAATACAATGAAAAGTGTCGATATATATATTTTGGTAAAAATGATTGTGCCGTATGAGTGAGAAGGGCATGGCAGCATAATCTAGAAAAATATACAATTCATCTAAAGAGTTGTATAGCTTGCTCATTACATAAATGATGTATTCAAGAATTTCCAAACTTCCAAAATAAACAATATATTGGGTTTTAAAATTTTCAAATGTATGTGAACCAATGCCAAAGTCTATTGATTTGCACCTTTTATTATATTTGCATTCCCTAAAGATAAATAAAAGTGCATATATATATTTTTAACAAAGTTCAAGATCAATACAAGTATATATTTATATTTTTTACCAGATGTGTTTTATGATCGTAGACTAGCTCCGTAGGTTAATTTTGGATGTGTTTTATGATCGTGGACTAGCTCTGCAGGCTATATACATTTCCTTGAGTGTGTTTTGTTCTCACATGCACACACTCCAAACCTCACACTTAATCTAAGGTTTGTTTGGTTGTGGTTTGAAATTGATTTGAAATGAACTGTTGATTTGAGTTTTTATTTAAATAGTATTTTGATGTGATGTTTTGTAAGAGGAAATACTTTATTTTTATTGGAAACTACGTGTTGATTTCAATTTGAAATCACAAAAGAACATGCCCCTAATGTTCTTAGTGGTAGGCTCCCAGAAATAAAAACACACTTTATGATATAAATAGTCTTATCAATCTATTTAAACTATACCTAAATCAGGGGAATTGTAGTTTTATACTTACATTGAAGTCTTAAGGAATACAACATCATTTAGTAGCTCTTACACATGATAACTGGATGAATTGGATGAAACAAAGAATAAAAATTGGAAACCATCATTTTATATACGAAGTTAAGGGGTTCTAAAATGTAGTGTTCTTATGAAAGGGTATTTCCTTTATTAGTTATGGTGCTTAGTTCTAATGTGCATATACCAAGAGACGAGATATTTAAGTCTGATGTTAAAGCATTAAATGTGTCTTTATATGTTTGTGGTCAAGCCAGAAAGGGCATAGAACATCTGCAATCTAGTTTGTGAAATGCTTGCCATAAGATATGAACTAGAGTTTGCAATTAAATATCTGGTCAATAAATAATAGAGGAAAAGCATAAAATTGCTTCTACTTCTAGTAAAATCTTTTGATGGAACTAAACATAATTCATCCAACAATGAAACAATGAGAATTAAATATGATATACTAGATGAACAATATGTGATAGATAATCTAATGAACCAATGATATTGTTTGTGATCAATCACCAACACTATAGGTTTTCCAAAATGTAGCAAGAATTATGTGTCGTTGTTTGTCCAATTGGCAAGCCAGGTGCCAGGCCTATCTGAGGAACACTATTTGAGGAATTTCATGAATGGACTGAAGGGCCTGATTTGAGGCTCCTTACGGCTGCTACACCCCAAATGATTTGAAGACCCCGATGGAGTTGACCAGACTTTCAACATTTCAAATGGAGGGAGAGGGGATCAGACTTTCAATATTTCAGCAACACATTCAGTCAATTTTTCGAAGTTGTTGGGGGAAAGTAATTATGTAACAACTGGCAGCAATGTGCAGGGTTCAAGCAGTAATTTTCTAAGACAGGGGGCAGTCCCCGGGACAGCCCCAAGAACAGATTCAGAGGTGTCCTGACAGTCTACAGCTCGATTCAAATTCACTCAGATTCCGCCAACAGTGTTAGCAGAATTAAGGATAAGGGGTCTATACTTTAGGGTGTTAAAAACTCTTTACACTCAGTCATGATTGCCCTTTTAAGCAATTCCGTGGACATTCAGGAGATTCAAAAGGGTTTGAATGAGGAAGATGGTGGTTTTTCGATTTTCAGCCTTCGCACTATGAGGTTCGGAGCGTGGTTGAAGGATGCCCGGTGAGGATTTTGATTAATAGTGGCACAAGTCACAAATTTATTTCTTCTTCCTTGGTGTGACACCCCGGACCGCAAGTCACGCGAAGTCGAGCATGTCGGGATCGAAGACTGGCCTCACAAGTCAATACGAGTTCTTCCAGTACGCTTCTGTCCTCACTCACGTGCACCATGGGAGACTTCCCTGGGGGTCCTCAAATTACTCTAGGGCAAGCGCTTAACTCCAAACTTCTTTCAGTAGGGCTTCTAAAAAAAGAATGTGCACATTGTTGACATGAGTAGTCTATTCAATCCATTTAATTATTATTTAATTTCAGATGGCCTAGCACCGGCTCATCTACGGAAGTTGGCCTAGCACCGGCTCATCTACGGAAGTTGGCCTAGCACCGGCTCATCTACGGAAGTTGGCCTAGCACCGGCCCAACTCTGGGGGTATCACACTTGGTTTCCATGCTACAATTGAACTCGGATAAGACAGGCAAATTCCAAGTGCAGTTTGGTGACGGATATAGACAAGAGTCAAAAGGGGTGTGCAGGAACCTACCGATATCGTTTGGCATGCCACGCTAGAAGTTCTTACGAATTGAGAAACACTGATAATGAATTTCGAGTGGGGTGGTGGACGACCGGAGTTAGAAAAGGATCCGACAATGTGCCGAGTGGTGGGCGACCACCAGATGGAGTTACAAGAAAGTTTGGAGTCGTTAATGGGGCCAGTGTTTGACCCTGAGAATGTGCTAGTTTGACAACAAAAGCGTGAGAATTGAGCAAATGAAAAGCAATTGTTGGTTAAATAGGTAGGGCAATAGACTGATAATGTGACTTGTGACACTCCGGCCCGCAAGCCACCAAAGTCAGGTGTGTCAGAATTGTAGACTGGCCCCATAGGTCAATACGAGTCCTTCAAGCACGTTTTTATCCTTACTCACACGCACCTTGGGAGATTTCTCGGGAGGTCACCCATCCTCAAATTATTCTAGGGCAAACACGCTTAATTCTAGAATTTTTCAGTAGGGTTCCTGAAAATGAATTTGCACATTGTTGTCATGAGTAGTCTATTCAATCCATTTAACCTTTAATCAACTTCGGATGACCTAACACTGGATCATCCACACACGGGAGTTGGCTAAGCAACAACCCAACTCCGAGGGTATCACATGACTTGGATAAGTAAACCGGTTTCCAAAGTCAGTTTCCGGACTTCAACCTTAAGGATAAGTTTGTTTCAAACAAAGATAGAGTTGATAGGGAGCAGGGGCAGGAGCTCGGGAATGAGGAGAGGGCAACAAGGCTCATGTTGGTGTACCAGAGGCGGGGATGGGCTTAGTTTTGCTTTCGCAAGCTTGGGCTTTTAATTATGAACTTTTATTATTTTGGGTTTGGTTTATTTATTGTTACTTATTTTAATTTTAATAAGTAGGGTTTAGGTAGTAGTAGTTAAGGAGTAGCTAGGGTTTGAGATATCATTCTCAATTTTGGAAATAAAGTATCCTAGAGGCTTGCTCAAAACAGTTGATTCCATTTGATTGGACACACGATTGATATCATTTGATTAATCTTATCTAGTTATCTTGTTTCTATCATTAGATGTCCACCTTGCTTGCATTATAAATAATTTGTAAGATATACCATACACTAGCCACCTATCTGACCAAAGAGAGACCCTTCAGTTTGAATTAATACGGAACCAGGATGGTGGAAAAACAATTCAGACGGCTCGGATTTTGGTAAACTAGGGCTAGCAAGTATTGTTATGGTCATTAGAGGCCAACATAGGCAAATCATCTTCATCGATTCCAAATGTACTGGTATAGCCGACTCCAATGTTGTACATATTTCGGCTACTATTCATACTTTTGAGCATTTGTTGGACAACCAACTGGGACAGCTCTCCAAATTCTATTTTGAGTTGCAGTTCCACCAATGCATTTGGTTGAATTCAAGGAACTTCAGGACCATGAAAGTTATATGTTGATATCAATAAACTTGGAGGGTTCCTTTCCAAGTATCACCTCGTGACTTTCCCATGTGCCTTGAAATGTGAACTCTTTTGTGGACCATTTTGCAAAAAGAGGGAGAAAGGTTGTTCAGAATTTGTAATCAAGGGTAGATTGGGTCTAGTTCCCCTATCCTTTAGCTATGGTATATTGCTATGTATCTTGTCCTAATCCTAAAATTCCATTCATATCAATGTGTATTCTCCTATCCTTTAGCTATCCTATGAATCTTGCCCTAAACCCAACTATCTAGTTAATAAAATTTGAATTAGTACTATCTGCTTTACAAATAACAAACAAAGGTGTTTGCATGTTAAATATTAATGATACTAAAGATGCAAGAAAACATACTGAATCAGCAGCAGCTTGCAAGGTTACATGATCTCCCCATTCTCCACTCCTATAATGGATCATCCCATTACATTACAAATCAGTCAAGTTATTGGCTCAATACTGGAGTAAACAAAGGTAAATAAATGCAACAACCTACTTGGACATCTTTGTCAAATAGTGTTCGTAAACCATTGGTACGTAACCCTCGTACATCTCTGGAAAAGACCTAAGCTGGAATTTCAGTTATTGCAGCAGAATAAACATCACTTAGAAAACCAAACGGTGGAACCAAAAAGAGTCGGAAAGGATATTTGCACAATAAATGTTTCAACCTGATTTACAACTTGCTGTCTGACAAATTTGTGATGCTCGGGAGTACGGTAAAATTGGTCTGACAGAGCTCGAAACTGAAAAAACTTAAAACCTTAGAACCACGTGTCCAGAGGTTACACTTATTGAGAATCTTTAAAAGCAATTTTGATCTGGACTAATGGGGGCAAACTTAAAATTATATTCATTCAAATATGAAGTGTAGTCGGTTTCGATAAAAGACAAAAATTTCATTGAAGTAATCAAATCTATTTATGGCACCAGATTATTGTTATTGGATATGCAAGGTTGATTCAATGAGTTTTCTTTTTTTTCCACAATATCAGTTAATGAGAAGATATTATAATCTCACGATCAGTTGAACTATTTGAGCATCTAATATGCATTGGAATATCCAAGTGGGGAGCAATTAAAGCAATAGTTAAGTGAAGCAACTCAAAGACTAACCTGACAGTTACCATCACCTTGTACCTTAAATTCAATCAGCTCATACACCTGCAATCTACACAAGATAAACATTACATGTATTGACATTTATAAAAATGTATAAAATTTATTATCATTGTTTGATTAGCCTTTGAGAAAGAGAACCAGGGCATATATTATACCCTGTCAAAAGTCAAAACTATGTATGAATTGAAAGCATGTAAAAAGTTAGTAGAAATGGGCTCCAGTAAATAACAGATACATAAGCCATGCACCATATTTACTATTGTATTTGTCTAAAGAAAATAAGGAAAGAAAGATTTGACTTTTATAACATATGTTGAAAAATAATCAAACAAAACATAAAAACAAAAAGATATGCTTTTGTATACTTTATGAATCCAAACTGAAAAACAAAATAACAAGTCTACTGCATTTATTGAACTTCATGTAAAGATACATGATGCGTTAGTACCTGTCCAGAAGTCTTTGATGATCTAAAGTTGCTTCATCTATGGATGGTATTTCACCGTTGATTTTTGGAATATGCTGCAAAGATGGGCCCCAATAGATGAGAGTAATGTTAATAGGAGTGAAGCAAGCAGAATGTGTTTATGCATATAACTACAGTTCAAGTAATAGAAAATGACTCCTGAAGAGACTAGGCCATTAAACGGTAAACAACAGATATCAACCCAAAAACAGAGTCACAGACACACACAAACATATACGTACATATGAAGTGAAACCTTTCACATATGTCTTGTCTCTACAAAACATTTAGCTACAATTCAGGGCTTTAGAGACCAAAAATTTCAAGTACAATAAGTAACAAGGTATCAAATATGTCCCTCTATCAGAGTAGATCTGTGACTTTCATGTTGTTATGTTTCTGTTTTGCTACAAGAACTATTAATTCGCGCAGAGAATACTTACAGGAACAGGAACCATCTGGTTCAGCCTTTTGCCCACTTCACCATCCAAAGCATGTTCATCCCTTAGTTCTAGAAAGTATGACCATTCCTCCCCAGTATATGATTCATCTCCTGTGCTGGAACATGAAGCTGAAATTCCCACATCAGTTTCCTCTTCATGTTGATTATCAGCTTCTGCAAGTCATAAGGACTTTTATGAAAAATCCATTAAAAAAACAAAGACATGGTGATATGAGACAAAGGTCAAAGGCAAAAGGCGTCTGGGAAGCAAGCATACCTCTAACATAATCAAAGCTTCCTAGCGATTGTGGAAACCAATCCTGAGAACAAAATGAAGTCTGTAGATATTCCGCCCCCTCTTGGAAAGAAGGTTTGATTGGTTCCGTTACAGAAAGTTGCGACAATCCTTCTTGAAGACAATTGATAGAAACATCATGATTTCCCATATAGCTGTAGTTTGGATCATACTGATATCCTTTTAAGTACTGTGCAGGATAACAGTCTGTGTTATGCTGGACCATCGAACTGCAATATCCAGAATTAGCATAAGGGTCTCCGTCAAAAAGCTGAAGTCCCCAACGAACAACATCAGGATCTTGCTCATATGTAAGCATCTTGAGTATACGATATCTTGAGATATCTGCCAGGATTCAAGAATAGATATTAGCAGGTCCCACAATTGTCAATCTATAAAATCAACACTGGAAATACAATCCAAATAACTTTCTTAACAAAAGATCTATGCACAATAGCAAGAAAGTAGATCCAGCTGACTTTCACATATTAGCCACTCAAATCAAATACAATTGTAATGCTCAAAAACATGGCCATAAATACAAGTCAGTTAATTCAACTTCCTCTAAATGCAACTAAATTAAACCTATAATTCAAAAAAAGAAACACACAGTTGCCCCCTATCATTCAAAAAAGGAAACAAAGAGTTGCCAAAATAGACCATTATCATCATCAATCACAGATTGTCTCCATGCACGTACATGTCAATTCACACCAGTGATTTTTGTAAGGAGAAAAAAATAGAGCACTACAACAATATGTTGATGAATTGATCTTCCTACTACTCTACGCTCATGATCTTCGATTAAATTCATCACAAGAACAGCCCTAACTGCAAACAATATACTAAGTTAGTTCACTGTATATGAATCAATTAATTCCTAAGCTCAGCACCACAAAAACAAACCCACAACACAAAATGGCTGTGATCACAGCAGAGCATAAATCCAAAACCCAATTGAACAGAAATGGCAGCAGCGCCTGCAATCTAATCGAAGAGGGAAAAAATCAAATGAATCAAAATCAAAATCAAGGTACATTTGGCAATACAGCGGAGATCGACCCGGTTACGGAATCAGAAACTTTCAAGCTTGAGCGTGCCGATTAAATCGGAATCCGAAGCATTTGGCAAAATCAGGGTATCCATCAATCATTCATCCATGGTTTCTGCAGCATATTCATTGATTGATTCATGAGAAGCGTATGATATGGGGAGAATTGGGAGGGATTACGATTATTGTTATAATTATTATATAGTAATGTGAAAAAATGTCGAGAATTTCGGGGGGTGGGGTGTCATGTCACGAGGTGGATTACTGTGATGGTGTGAGTGAGGGATGCGGACAATGGAAGTGGAATCTCTCTCGCTGAGATGGGGGGTGGGGTGGGGTGGGGGTGGCGTCGCAATTCCCAGAGCGGAGCAGAAAGAAACTGGTGTTCTCAAACTGACGCCGATTCCTTTACCTTTGTCCGCTTTCACGTTTTCTTGTCTCTTTCTCGTTTTTATCAATATTCTCCGGTACGGCCTTCACGTTTTCTTCTTACTAATTATATTACAATAATAAATACTTCTGGTTAGCCAGATTTTTTGTGATTTTTATTTTTTTTTTATGTAAGTATGTATGTTAAATTTACTCACTTACTATATTTAAAAAAAAAATAGTTTAAAGAATTAATATTTTAATTATTATATTTTTTTTATATTCATTTATAACAATTATTATTAATATTATTATTAGAATGTGACTGTTGAAATTGTTTGAATATATATGGGTGATGCATTAATCTTTTTGAAAAATTGCATTTTTTTTTTTTAAACAGTGGAAGAATACACTCATTTTTATTTATTTTTTTTGTTATTTTTTTAATTACTAAACAAATTTACAAAATATCCTTAACAATTTTTTCACTTTTTTTATTTTTTTTTAAAACAAAATAGCATAAAATCCGCTGAAAATAGGGATGTCAAATGGGCGGGTTAGCCCCGGACCCGCCCCGGACCCGGTCTTAACGGGACGGGTTCGAGTCTAAATAATTTGGTTCGGAGAGAGTTGTGGATTTTGAGTTTTAGACCCGACCGGGTTGCGGGTTTTACTATAAACCCGCTCTATCCCGGACCCGGACCCTAACCCGGATATTTTAATAATTATTATAATTTATTTATATTTTTATACAATATAAATTATATTATTTATTTATTTAAAAAAATTTAAATATAAAATAGAACTTTAATTTTAAATCAAATTTATCTTCACATTTGTTAATCCTACAATTCTCTTTATAATCGGGACTAGACCGCCATCACTACGGACTATTGTCGATATTTGATTGTTCTTATTTTTAGAATTATAATTTTTTGTTTTTAGTATTAAATTATTTTTTTAAAAAAATATATATATTATTTTAAAAAAAAAAAAAAAAAACCAAGTTTGTCGGGTTGCCCTGAGCCCTCCCGGGACGGGTCCTGGGGCCGGGTTGAAGCGGGATGGGGCGGGTCTTGGGTCCTAATATTTTCTAACAGGCCGGCCAATCGATTTGTGGGAAGCAAATTCATTCGCACCCAATTTTAGAACACAAATGGAAACTTAATTCAATTTCAATTTACTTTTGGATCCTTTTTTTTTGTATTTTTTTTTCCCAAATTTTTCTTCACTGCGTCCCAACCGTACCAGTTTTTTCTTTTCTTCTTTTTCCTCAAGTTTTTTTCTTCATACTTCTTCTCCTTTCCCAATTCTTCTTCGGGCGAACCACTAGGTTCTTTCTTTTTTTTTTTTCTTTTTCTTCAATTTTTTTTCTTCTTACTTCTTCTTCTCCAATTCTTCCTTAGCTAACCAAGTTTTTTCTTTCTTTTTTTTCCTCATTTTTTTCTTGTTCCCAAATTTTTTTTCCTTCATTCCTTTTTTCCCCAATTCTTCTTCAGACTCACCAGGTTTTTTATGTTTTTTTTTCTCCAATTTTCTTTATTTCTTCTTTTGCTTCCCTAATTCTTTTTCGGGTCCACCAAGTCTTTTATATTATTCATTTTCTCCAATTTTCTTTCTTTCTCCATTCTTCTTCAGAGGCACCAAGTTCAAGAACCAGCGTTTTTGGAAGCATATGGAGAAAAGAGTGCTCAGAGAGTATTTTAGTAACTTCACATGGTGAAGAGATTCAGTAGTTTTTTTAAGTTTCAGAACATAAATTTTTAAACCAATTAAGAAAATCACATGGGAAATTTATATTATTTTGCTTTTTTTTAATAATTTTTTTTTTAAAATTTTTGTGTTGAACCCAAATATCTATATATATATATATATACACGACGAAAATTGAGGAATTATCTCTTAGTCTTTTAAAACTATTTTTTTCTTATTTAAAAAATGACATAAAAAATAAAACTATGAGCATACTATTGTAAACGTTGACGAAGGGACGAAGTAACAATTTTTTTTAAATATTTTTTATCTAATTTGAAATGTAATTTACTTATTTATTTTAAAATTTTAATCAATAATATAAAGTAATAAGAAGGCTATAAAATTTATTACTAAAACATAATGTATAGTTTTGATGGCAAAATTAAATATATTTAATAAATAGTAAAAAATATATCAATATATATATTATATCATGACAATATCGTAATTAAATTTTAATATTATTATATATTATATTGCTCTAATTAAAAAGAAAAAAAAATATGGAGTATAAAATAACTTATATTACAATAATTAATAATAAGATTATTAAGTGTCTTTTTGGTAAGAAAGAATAATCATACTATATAATCAAACAAAGTTTAACTGTGTTTGTTTGGAGGATTGGTAAAGACTTTAACTATTCACTTAATTTTTTTTCTCTAAAAATATCAAAATCAAATATCCATTTTTTATTTTTTATATTATACTATATATGTCCACTTACAATATTTACATATTTCTATATCGGGACGTCCAATTACAAAGTTAACATTTCATTAAATACTTACTTTTTTTTACAAATACCCTTACTTTACATCACATCATTCCTTTTACACAAAAGTAAGGGCAAAAATATCGTTACACTACTTTTAACTACTCACTATAATTAAAATACTATTATTTCTTAAACACCGCGTCAAAAGTAAATGTAAACATTGTAAGTGGACGGAGGGAGTACTAAAAATCAATTTTACATTCAAAGCATAGCATCAATACCTATTTTATCACTTCATTCAACTATTTCAATTCAAATTTTTTTACTATTTAAATTCCAACTCAAAATTCATACCCACAAACAAACACATATTAATTTTATGTGGTATTTAATTCACTCATAAAACATTCAATAATGCATTTTTTATATTATCAGTACAATTTCTCGTATGTAACATGAAAAAATTGATTAATCCAATAACACAAAATAAACAAATACCTCTTTTCTACCCTTAAAGTCAGCAAACAAGTTACAACCATCTGTATTTTCTTTGTATTTTCTAATATTCTGAGATAATCAGAGCAAGTAAATTTATTTTTAATGTTTTGACATATTTAAAGTGGTTGAAATACAGACTGAAATCACTTATTGAATTTTATTATTATTATTTTTCTTAAAAAAAAAAACTATATTTTATAGGTTCACGTATACGGAGCTTAAGGACTAAAAACAAATTCATCTGAAGTTACTAAAAGTAATCAATATCATATTAGTATTGAATTGACTAATAAAAGTTTATTTTCGATTAAAAAAGCTAAGGAAAAAACACAGATAAATATGACAAATGTGTCTTCATAAGTTTATTATAAATCTGTAAAATTTTCAAGTTGTTAATTATATATTTATAATGTGTTCTTTTTCAAAAGTTACACATTTTTTCAAAAAAATATTAATATATTACACATATTTATTATTTTATATTCTTTACACAATTCACCGTACCTTATATATATATATATAAATACTAATCCAAATTATCTCACAAAAGGGTGTGTTTGTTTTGGGGATTGGATTTATATTATTCTATCTCATTTTTTTCCCCAAAAATTATCAAATCAAACATCTATTTTTTATTTTTTATATTATATTAAAAATCAATTTTACATTCAAAACATCACTTCAACACCTATTTATACCATATCATGTCTGATTAATTGTATATATATAAATATATATTTTTTGTTTTGAGGATAGTATAAATTTAAAGTGAAATAATTATTCAATGTAGTATAAATATGTGTTTCATGTAATGTTTTTAATAAAAAAAAAATATATTTTATTGTAATATAAAAAATATAGATAAATATTTTTATTTGATACTTCCTAAATAGAAATAAAAAAATACGACAAATAAATAAATAAAAAACATTTGCGTAAGAATTACAACCAAATAGATCCTTAAAATTTTATTGAATGAAAACTAAAATTTGAATGTAATATTTATAAAAATATATATATACACAATATTTTAGTATAATATTTTAAATAGTATTAAATATGATTTTTTAATAGTAAAAATAAACAGCTTACATAATACTTCCTTCGTCCATTTTCTATTGTCCTGAAGTATATTTACACGATTTTTTAGGTGATTGTCTTTTTGTTATGAATGGACAAATTTGCCCTTAAGTGTATGGTGGAGATTAAAAATAATAAATGAATGAAGGGTAAAAATGTAAAATTTGTGTTTAAAAAATGAAATAGGGCAATAGTTGTTGGACGTCCCAAATAGGAAAGTAGGACATTAGTTTGTGGATGGAGGGAGTATTAGCCGTAGATACCAATAAAAAGAGCGTAGGTCCAAATAGTTCATACTAATCTATATTTTATATATACAAGTTTTCAATTCTAAATTCTACTCCCTCCGTCCCACTTTTCAGGTCCATCTTTTTATTTCTGTCTGTTCCATTTATTTTGTCACTTTCCTTTTTTTAAGAAAAGAATTATACATTTTAATCTTATTTTTAAAAAATTTAATTTATAATTTTATATTCATAAGTTTTCTTAATCTTAATCCGTAATTATTTTTATTATACGATAATTATTTTTATTAATATATTTTTAATTATTTATTAATTATCCCTTCTAAATTTTCGTGTTTACAGCAAAACGAATAAAATATGCGGGACGGACGGAGTATTATGAAAATGCAAAAAGTGTTTTTTAAGGTGAGGACAAATGGTTTTTATGTAAGAAAGTGAAATGGTAAGAAAACTTTTACTTACTCAATAGACCCATTGCAACATAAAATAAATAAATAAATAAATAAGCAACATGTTTTTATAGATATGCTGATGTAAACGATGACGTGTATGTTTGATATTTGAAATATAATTAACAAATATAAATTAATTTATTAATTTTATACTCTTTTTGTTACAGTTAAATTATTCTGAGTTTTAGGTATTGTGTAATTATTAAGTAATTAAAAAAGAATGTATTAGTGAATAATTATAATTTAATAAAAATAATTATAGATTAAGATTAAGATACTGAATTTTAAAATGTGATTATAATATATAATTATATTTCAAAAAATAAAGGACAAATTATATAGGAAGCACGGAAATATAAATATGAGACAAATTAAGTGAGACGAAACAAATATTTTTATCTATATTTTAAATATTTTATTTTATTTATCTTAATTATAAATAAATAAATATTTTTTATTTATTTGTATTATCTATTTTCTATTCTATACAAATAATATTTATATTAAATATATTTTATTAAGATATTATATTTTAAAAATTTAAATATATATTAATTTTTATTTTAAAAATATCAATAATATTATTAATACATAAATATAATAAAATAATATTATAATTAATTATTATTATTATTATTAATTAAATCTTATTAATTGAAATACTATATCCCAAATGAACTATTTAAAATAGAGCAATAGAAATATATTTTTAAAAAATATTTAATTAAAAAAACTATTTTCACAGTCTGAATTTTTAACTGTGTCAGAGGGTTCGATTCTAAAATTTTTCAAACTTGTTCTTTTATGTTCAAATACTTTCTTTAATTTCAAACCTTAAATATTTTATATTTGGATTTTGTCGAAAAAATATTTATTCTTATAAATTATTTCATTATACTTCCTCTGTCACATAAGTAAATATTCTTTATTTTTTTACGTAGTTTTAAAAATATTAATATTATATTGGGATGTATTGAAATAAAGTAGAAATGACTAAAATAACTTTATTAATATGTGTGATATAAATGTAATAATATTTGTGTAATATATTGTAAGTTGTAAGAGTATTTTTAATATTAAGTGATTTTACAGTTACTGTAAAAAAAGAAAAATGTTATAGGACGGATTTAAATAAAAAAAATAAATATTTGTTATGGAACAGAGAAAGTATATTATTTTAATATCAAATTTAAATAAAATTGTTTTTCAAACTCATTAAAAAATACCCTTTATTTCTTGCACTTTTTTAGTTTAAATTTTCGGACCATATTAATTTTTTTTTGAACCATGGATATAACAATAACCAAAGGCGAGGCCAACGTTCCAGTTCAACGCCATTAATAAAAGTTGACTTGATGACGTCACTCAAAACATGGAGTTCCATCCGACGGCCAAAAGCGATCCACCCCCTAAATCATCTCCCCGCCATTTCTTCCTCCAACAAACTCTGCTCCCAACCAACGATCCATTCTTCTTCCTTTTCTCTTTCGATCGATCCATCGAATAACAACACCAACAAGGAATGCCATGCCGTTGTCCCCAAATCTCAACAAGAATGACAATCTCACAATAATGGCCATCAATTTACTGTTGACGCTGACGTTAGCCCTCTCCTTCGGCGCAACCTCCGTTGCCGCAGCCGCAGGCGAGGTACCCACCGGCGCCGTAGACTCTGGCTCCGCCGCCTCCAGCATCCTCGCCAAGTCGGTCTTCAAAACTTTCGTCAATGCTTCCACTTTCGTTACCCCGGAGATCAAAAAGCACCTGGAATTTTGCGTCAGCGACATGTAAGTATGCCCATGCCCATGCCCATGCCCATGCCCATGCCCTACCTCCATTTTTAATTTCTAGTTTTTCTATATGTTTCGAAATGCTCCAGATGCTTTGTTAGAGACGATTTTATTTCTTCATTCACGTTTGGATTGCGAGGAATTTCTTCTTTTTCAGTAGGTTTGCTGCGTACCTGAAATTATCGATTTCTTATTTTGTTATTGCAGGGATGCTGAGTGGGACGCTGCGTTTAATTTCTCCAAGAACACGGACTTCTTGTCGGCATGCCTAAATAAGAACAGAGGTCTGTAGCTCCTGCATAATATATTGAGAATTGTCATCTAGTAATGGTGTTTATAATTTGGGGACAATGTGAGAATAATTAGGGGAGAATTGAATTTGAACACCTGATTCAGTAATGGTTATGAGAGGCTTACTGCTTCTGTCCATGTCTCCATCTCTGTAATTTCAACATATTTTGTTAGCATTTATTGGTGTCTTCATGTCTATGATTCAGATGCTATGCAGAGGTTGTGCACTGCAGCAGAGGTGGTGTTCTATGGTGCTGGTCTGGTGGAGAGTTCGGAAAGTGGGAGCACGAAAAGCGGGGGTTTCCTGAAACTGAACAAGAATTGCAACTTATCGTCATGGCCAGCAGGTTGTGAGCCAGGGTGGGCGTGTAGTGTTGGCGAGGGGAAAGTAAACTTTAAAGATGCTAAAGAAATGCCCCTTAGAGTTAATGATTGCAAGCCTTGTTGTGAAGGCTTCTTCTGTCCTCAGGGTCTTACCTGCATGATACGTGCGTTTCTTGAAACTCTACTTCGATTTTTTTCCAATCATATACTATTACATTAGAGAATGATCTAGTGTCTATTGTTTATTTACTTTTCAAATCATCAATGTGCTTGTTTCGACCTTTTTTAACTTTTAAGTCATGCTTTTGCTGAGATGTTTTTTACTGTATCATGCTCGAAGCCTGCCCTTTGGGATCTTACTGTCCTTTGGCAGTACTCAACAACAGCACAGGCGTTTGTGATCCGTAAGTTTGATGTTGCTGTGCTTATTTTCTTTGTTAGTGTTGTTAAAATCTCTCAAGTCATGTTGATTCGACTTTATTTGGAAGGTATACGTATCAACTACCTCCAGGACAATCAAATCACACCTGCGGTGGAGCTGATATTTGGGCTGATTTTCAACGTGGTAAACAGATATTTTGTACGGGAGGATCTTACTGTCCTACTACCACCCAGAAACTTCCGTGCAGTAAAGGGTACAACTTTCGGCTTGAGCTATATATATCACTGCATTACATCTTTGAAATAATTCTATGTTGTTTGAACTATGCTTCATCCATGACAATTATCCACTTAAGTTTTCTTTCACCATCTATTTGGTTGCAACTGTTTATGAAATTTTTAATGTTTTGCAGACATTTTTGCCGGACTGGGTCGACATCCCAAATAAGTGAGCATAGTCTATCCCTTTCCTTTTACATAATTTATTGGTTTTGGTAGCATAGAGTATCTTATTACTCTGAATAACTGATAAATGTTTCTCTTTGATCTCATGAAGCTTCTACTTCGAATTTTTATTCCACAAAATTGTTTCTGTTGTTTAAATGATTAGAAAAACCTGGATGAATGGCAGGTTGCTATCAATTGGCAACTTGTGACGAGCAAGCTGAAAATCAGAATATCACGGCTTATGGTATTATCTTCTTTGTAAGCACCTCCTACTCAGTTGATTTCATACATGCCATATTCTTTATAATTAATCTTAGCAGAAAAGAGATTACACCATTGTTGTGCCACTTTTGTATTCATTGGAAAATGCAACTACAGGTCTAATCGATGTTATGTTCAATGGATGGCAGAGATATAACTCCTCATCTCGTCATTAATGTTTATAATTTTCCATTTCAGGGCGGCATTACTCTGGTACTTATGATAATATATAACTGCTCGGGACAAGTTCTCAGTACTCGAGAAAAAAGGCAGGCGAAATCCAGAGAAGCTGCTGCCAGAAGTGCCAAGGAGACGGTGCAGGCACGTGAGAAATGGAAGTCTGCAAAAGAAGTTGCCCGGAGAGGTGCAAGTGAGCTCCAATCACAGCTGTCGCGAACATTCTCACGCAAGAAATCGGTCAGTGTCAATGCAGGAAAGGATTCAAAATCTGGTGATCATAAATTGCCACCTAGTGGACCTGACTCAAAGGGGAAGAAGAAAAGGGAAAGCAACCTCACAAAAATGATGCGTGACATTGAAGAAAACTCCGACAATGAGGATGGATTCAATGTCGAAATTGGAGACAAAAATTTGAAAAAGAATGCAGCAAAAGCCAAGCAATTGCACACACGCAGCCAGATTTTCAAGTACGCATATGGTCAGATTGAAAAGGAGAAGGCGCTGCAGGAGCAGACAAACAATTTGACCTTCTCCGGCGTAATATCAATAGCTTCCGACATGGAAATCACAGCCAGGCCGCCTATTGAGGTCTTTTTCCAAGATCTGACTCTTACATTGAGAGGCAAAAATAAGCATCTCTTAAGATGTGTGACAGGCAAGCTCGTACCCGGGCATGTTTCTGCTGTCATGGGTCCGTCGGGTGCTGGTAAGACGACTTTTCTTTCAGCTTTGACTGGAAAAGCTGCCGGATGCACCATCACTGGAAATATACTTATAAATGGGAAGGATGAACCCATGCGATCGTACAAGAAAATTATAGGATATGTACCTCAAGATGATATAGTTCATGGAAACCTGACGGTTGAGGAAAATCTCTGGTTCAGTGCTCGCTGCAGGTTTACTTCCATCACTTCACTCAACTGTGTGTAACCTTATTTTCCATCAGAAAATCGCTGCTGCACTTACTGATGTTGTCTTCTAATTCGTGGTTAATTATATCGTAGGCTGCAAGCTGATCTACCCAAACCAGAGAAGGTCCTGGTTGTTGAAAGGGTAATTGAATCGTTGGGATTGCAGCCTGTTAGAGACTCTCTAGTAGGTACAGTTGAGCAGAGAGGGATATCCGGAGGTCAGAGGAAACGTGTTAATGTTGGACTAGAAATGGTTATGGAACCTTCATTGTTAATCTTAGATGAGCCGACATCCGGCTTGGATAGTTCCTCTTCTTTGCTATTGCTCAGAGCCCTTCGACGTGAAGCTCTTGAAGGAGTTAACATATGCATGGTGGTTCACCAACCGAGGTAATTCCGTCTTTCTTATAAAAAAACAATATTATTCAACCTAAAGCTAAAGATTTGGACACTTACTGTTTATTTCTTTCATGTAGTTACACCTTATACAAAATGTTCGATGATTTGATACTTCTTGCCAAGGGAGGCCTCACAGTGTACCATGGACCAGTAAAGAAAGTCGAAGAGTATTTTACAGGTCTCGGAATCCAAGTCCCTGACAGGGTGAATCCTCCGGATTACTTCATTGACATTTTGGAGGGCATCGTCAAACCGACCAATCCCACAGCTGTAAATTATAAGGAGCTTCCTTTGCGGTGGATGCTTCATAATGGCTACCCTGTACCCCCGGACATGCTTGATTCTGCAGGAATGTCGCCTGCGCCCGGAGGAGATTCAGTCAGTGCAAGTCCATCTGCTAATAAGCTTGACTTGGATACATCCTTTTTTAGGGATCTGATTCAGGATTTCAAGTTTAGTATTGGACAGAAGTCAGACAAGATTTTACATAATTTTACCAAGTCCGTGGACTTGTCTGAGAGGGAAACTCCTAGTGTCCTCCTCCAATACAAGTATTTCGTCGGAAGGTACTTTGCACAAGAGATTACAGAAGCACATACATGATGTCTTGTCCTAAATATGTTTTGCATTCTGTCAGGGTTGGGAAGCAGAGATTGAGAGAAGCTCGGATACAAGCCGTGGATTACTTAATTCTACTACTGGCAGGAATCTGCTTAGGTACACTGGCCAAAGTGAGCGACGAAACCTTTGGTTCAACAGGATATCTGTACACGGTTATTGCAGTTTGTAAGTTTTGTTTTGATCTCCTTCCTCGATATTAAATGTTACTCAGATTTGCATCCTTGTGCTCATTCTTTTGTCCTGATTTCTTATGTAGCTCTTCTATCTAAGATTGCTGCATTGAGATCATTTTCTTTGGATAAGCTGCATTACTGGCGAGAGAGCGCTTCCGGAATCAGCAGCCTGGCGTACTTTATGGCAAAGGACACGATTGATAATTTCAACACTTTTGTGAAGCCTGCTGTCTATCTTTCCATGTTCTACTTCTTCAACAATCCTAGGTCCACCGTTTACGACAACTACTTTGTCCTCGTCTGCCTTGTGTACTGCGTCACCGGCATCGCTTACATTCTTGCCATCTACTTCGAACCGGGACCTGCCCAGCTGGTGAGTGATCCAACTTATTAGGATGGTTACTGTGCTGATTAGGGCAAATCAACGTCGTAGTGATTTGTCCCGGTCAGTACATGTAAAACACGAAAGATGGACATTCTTTTTTATTTAACGCAGTAGATGCTGTGTTAAATAAAAATATGTGTTGTCAGTTTATATTTTATATGCCTATTGTATGAATATATCATTTTTTTGTTAAAATTAGTGACAGCATATATTGTGTGAGACTGTGTCATATGCTTAGAGTTGTTAATAAACCGAACTGAATAGAATTTTCACTGTTTGTATTCGTGCATTAATGTTCGCGAACAAGGCTTGTGTTTATTCATTAAGCATTTGAGCTCGTTTGTGGTGTTCGAGTTCGGTTCATTGAACAATTTTATTGTTTGAACTCGTGTTAGGCTCGATTAAGCTTGTTTGAGCTTGTTCGAACTCATTTGAATATGTACGATATTTTATTTTATTTTTTAATTCATATATATTTACTTTTTTAATTAAAAATTATATATATATATTAAAGAACGTTCGGGAACAAAACTAGGGCTCATTTTGTTAACAAACGAGCCTATTTATGTTTTACATAACAGTTTAGTTCATTTAACAGCTCTAAATATATCGTGCATTTGTATTATGTTGACACATATGGTATATTGTTGCCCTTATATTGTGTGTTATCAGTTCCTATATCGTGTGCTGCTGTTAATATCTAATACAAATATTGTTTTGTATTTATGAATGGTGTCGGATTCTTACATCAGTGGTCGGTGTTGCTCCCCGTTGTGCTTACGCTCATCGCCAACCAAGACGGAAACACATTTACTTCGAAGCTCGGAGACTTTTGCTACACAAAGTGGGCGTTGGAAGCGTTCCTCCTAACGAACGCCAACAGGTTACATTAATTCTATCGAATTTCATGTCCTTTTACAAAATGACCTCAGACCGTTAAAATGAATGAGAATGAGCAGGTACTCGGGAGTGTGGCTGATACAAAGATGCGGGGCGCTACGGCAAAAAGGTTATAACTTGAAACACTACTACCCTTGCTTAGGATACCTTGTGGCTGCGGGCTTGGTAAGCAGGTTTTTTGCTTACTTCATTCTGATCACATTCCAGAAAAAATAATTAGAAACTGGAAAAATATTGCTGTTATTACAAGAGAAGAGGAGTGTAAGAACAGTAGAGTTAATAGGGGCGGGACGCTGTGGCGGGGGTGGTGGTGGTGGTGGTTTTATACCATACTATGTATAGATAGATATGTGGAGATCTTGATTAATGCTAATTTTATGTGTAAATACATATGTATATTTTTTTTTATTGGAAAATACATACGTACATTTGATTGGTTCATACATATTCATTTATAACATTTTTCTTTCTTAATTTTTTTAGGTTTTCTAAATTTAAAAACAATTAATTTTGATTTTAATTTTATTTAAATATTTATTTATTATTTATTTATGGTATAAAAAGTCTATAAATAATAATTAATTAAATTGTTATAATATAAAAATAATAAATTTAATACATAATTAAATTAAATTTTGAATAATAATAAATTATAAAATCATACAGATGTAGTAGATGATAAAATAATTTAATTTAAATTAAATTATATAATAAAAAAAATCTAATTCTAAAAATTTATCATTGTAATTAATATTAAAAATATTTTTTTCACTATTTTTATAATATAATAATTAATATTTAAAATCAAAAAATAAAAAATAAATACATAAATAAATGAGAAGCGGAGTTAGTGTTATTTAAAAACATATCACACCCTAAACCCTAACCTACATCGCCCGCCGCCCTTCTCATCTTCCTCTTCTTCTTTTTCCTTCTCCGTCCTCTCACTTTTTGCCTCTTCAATTCTTCCTTCTTCTTCTTCACCCATCGCTTTATATTCGCGCCAGAGTTGCCATTGTTTCTCCACAGCCAGCCAGCACCGTTCACGATTTCACACCAAGGTTTGAAAATAATAAATAAATTAAAAGAAAAAAAAAATCCGAACCGCCGGTTTACTGTTCCGCATAACTGGAAACGACGGTTCCGGTTTAAACCGGACAAGCGGTTCGCCGGTTTCGAACTGGGCAAGCCTAATTAACCTTCCCTCTCCGCCTCCCTTTGCTGCGGACTTCGTCTTCAACCACACTAGACCAACTTGGTAAATTAAATCCTCAAGTTCTTTTTTTTTTTTTTGCATTGGTTCGTAAATGTTCGCTGTTATGTTATTATTTCGATTTCACTTATGCAATTTAATGTCTATGGGTATTAGCCGTTGGTGTGGCTGAGGTTGAGTTTTTTATTGTTCTCTTATTTCAGTTTAAGTTCATATGGGTACCGACTTTGATGTGTTCGTTGATATTTCAATCTCAATACTTCTAAAGGATTTACAGTCATTTATGTTTTTGTTGTGTTTGTTATCTCAATTCGATCTTGTTGTTTCGTTGCCAAATCAGAAGATAATTTAAGAATCTTTCAAGCATTTTGCCCTAATTTGAACGCGTTTGCTCATTTTGGTATTTCAATTCAACGACGTGAGAAGTCCCCAACCCTAACCTGGGATTTGGGCTGTTCCTGCAATTTTTCAAATTATTGATTCTGCCTTTCCTTCATTTATGGCTTAAATTGAATTCATTGTTGCATCTATTAGTGTTTATTCGTTGTTTTCACTTCACAACTTCACCAAATTCTTCTTTGGTGTATGTCATGTGTCAGCCACATTTGCTTGTGTCTTCTTCATCAACGAGCCATAGGATTCGATTGGCAATTCTTACTCCAAAACAATGCTGTTGGTAGATCCCACCAAGAAACTATCCTATAATCGTCGAATAATGGATGGAGACCTAGTTATTGTATATGAGAGATACAATAGTATGAAGCCGGTCAAGGTTTCGGCTGGCGGTGTTCTGCAGAACCGCTTTGGTCTGTTCAAGCATTCAGATTGGATCGGAAAGCCGTTTGGATCAAAGGTTTTCAGCAATACAGGGGGATATGTGTATCTGTTAGCACCGACTCCTGAGCTGTGGACTTTGGTGTTGAGTCACAGGACGCAAATTTTATACATCGCCGATATTAGTTTTGTGGTTATGTACTTGGAGTTAGTTCCTGGTTGTGTGGTTCTTGAGTCGGGGACTGGGAGCGGATCCCTGTCCACCTCGCTTGCTCGTGCAGTTGCGCCAACCGGCCATATTTACACATTTGATTTCCATGAACAGAGAGCCGCATCTGCTAGGTACGATTGTTTCCTCTTTGCACTAGAAAGTTGAGAGATTAGTTAGGATGATGAAAAGGACCATTTTATTTTTTTTTAGTTTACATTGTTTCATAAGCTTCGATTTGCTTTATACATTATGCATTTTGATATTATTACAATGTGGTTCGTGTGGGTGTTGGAATTCGACTATATTGTGTATTTTGTGCAGCTAATTAGTTTATTTAGTAAATCAATTGGGTTGTTTGAATTTAAGCGAATCATGTAATTGCATATTGAATGATTCCCGTGCAATGGAATCCAATTTTTGCGCCTTTTTTACGAAATGTGATTTAATCTTTTCATCAGGGAGGATTTTGAAAGAACGGGATTGAGTAGCTTGGTGACGGTGGGAGTAAGAGACATTCAAGGTGAGGGCTTTCCCGATGAATTTACGGGGCGCGCCGATTCTGTTTTCCTCGACCTACCTCAACCTTGGCTAGCCATTCCATCAGCTGCAAAAATGCTGCAGCAAGACGGCGTGTTGTGCTCATTCTCACCGTGCATCGAGCAAGTGCAAAGATCATGTGAAACCTTAAAGTCACATTTCACAGGTAGATTATAATCCGAGTAAAGAATGGTATCAATTAATGCAGAGTCCCTGTGTTTATGTCTGAGCTATTTCTTTGAACTTCGATGTCTGCAGAGATAAGAACGTTCGAAATTCTCCTCCACACGTATGAAGTTCGCGAAGGGGAATTAGGGAGCTGGCAAGATGGCGGCCGGGGATCTGTTAAAAGTTGCAAAAAGAGGCAACGATCTACTACAACAAATAGCGAGGAAAATCCGGGGACTCGAACGATCTTGGCGCGCCTCAATAGTGAGGCTAAAGGTCATACGGGATACTTGACATTTGCCAGGCTCAAGTGCACCTCGTGAGTAAGTCGATTTTTCTTACTTATGTATAACTTATGATTTTTTGGTTTTGAAGAGGAAGATAATGGATATAATAAATTGTGGTAAAAGTTATTCATTTGATACTTCTTAAAGGGTCTTTCTTGAGTGTTTTGAAATGCGGTGTCGATTTGAATTTTTGTTTAACTAGTATTTTTATATAATATTTTTTTGTGAAAAAATAAAATAAAATGTATTTTATTAAATTAAAATAATCTCTCTATTCTATAAAAAGGTAGTATCGAATTTTTCTATTTTGATCGGTTCAAAAAATAAAGTGTTAAGTTTTTCCTTTTAATAATTTTACTAACTATTTAATATAAACAATGTTATTAAAATATATGATAAGTACCTTTGGATGTATTTGATTTATATTTCAAATATAAATTAATACTCCCTCCATTCAAAATAAATTTTTAATTTTGTCATTTTAATTTGTCAAAGTCAAAAATTTTATTTTATTTTTAAGTAAAATTAATTTTTAACTAAATATCACAATATTTTTAATTTTTACTTTTTACATTTTTTTACTTTAATGTCAACAATATAATAAATATTACACTATTTTATTACACTAAGTATTTATAAAAATACCAATTTATCTTAATTTGAGTTCAAAAGTTGAAAAGGTTACTCTTCGACAGAGGAAGTATTATTCAGTTCATACACTTTAGCTAAAACTAAATTATTTTTTCATAAAATATATAAAAAAGATATCATATTAAAATATTATTTAAATAAAAATTTAATTTAAATCGATATAAACCAACTCTTACTTAACCAATATCACATCATTACCTGACACTACCGGTAGAAATATGAATGTCATTGTAACATGCACATGTAATATTAATATTAGAAAATTTATATATAAAAATCAAACAATGAAAATACTTCCGTAGTGTAAAATTAAGTTAATTTAATCGGGATATGAATTTTAAGAAAAATAGATAAAATAGATAAAAATATAAACTTGTTTTTTCCTGTTATGATAAAAAAATATTAAAAAACAGTTATTTTTTTATAAAAATAAAAGGAGAATAAATTTGAATTATAGTAAAAAATAAATCAAATTGAATGACAAATAAAATACTATTTAAATAAAAATTTAAATTTTAAATTAAATCAAACAAACTTTAAAGATTTTTTTTGCTTCATTGTACATTTTTACTTAACATTAATATTTTTATATTATAATAATATTATAAAATATTAATAAAAGTATTTTTATAATTTTTTTTTTATTTTTACTATATTTTAATATAATAATAAATTTTTAAAAATCAACCAGCAAAAAATAAATGAACCCTGAACCCTAAACCCCACACAGATAGTATCTATTTACAACAAATCTTTCTATTTTTAATTTTTTTAAAATTATTTTTCTATTTTATCTTTTTCTAGATAAATAGAAAAAAATATTAATAAAAACAGTCAACTTTGTAAAGCTGTCAACTTTTTTCTTAATAAAAAATTGAGGTATATTAATTACATTATGTTTATATTATATGATTTTATGTTCAATAAAATAATTCTTTCGTCCCATTTATTTTTTTTATATATATATTTTATATAATTTGTTTTTTAATATAATTATACACTCTAATCATATTTTAAAATTCATAACTTTTAATTTTTTTATTTTAATTAAATTATTTAATTATTTCAATCATAATCTATAATTATTTTCACTAATACATTTCTTAATTACTTATTTACACAATACCTAAAACTTTATGCATGCAAGAGTAATATTTATATTAAAGATATTTAAATAAATGTTTTAATTTATTTAAATGTCAAAATTCTATTTAATTTGATTGGCGTTAAATTTATACATAATAAATAATTCTATACACCTATAATTTTATTATTGTTATTTCAAAAATTATTGATTACTTTGTCACTATTTTTTTATTTACTCGTTTCTTATTAATTATTTAATAAATTTTCTATAATACAATACATTATTTTAATACTTATCAGTTTATTTTAATATTAAAATATTCTTTGTTTTATTTTCATATGTTTCAAAACAAGAGTGTCATTTACTGTCTACTTAACATAATAAATACTCTTTAAATTTACAATATATTATACAAATATCATTATTTTTATATTACACAATATTAATAAAAATATTTTTATTTTTTTATTATAATATAATATAATATTAATATTTAAAAAATTATTATAAAAAGTAAATGTTACTTTTTTCAAAAAATTTTTTTTATATCCAATCTAACATTATAATTTTACTAAAGGGAGAATATATATACATATATATATTTAATCGCAAGTCAAATATCGACTATCACATCTCATTTCAATTAAATCATCAACGCAATCTCAATCACCCAACAGATACACTCTCAATAAAATTTATATTTTTATATTAAATAATAAATAATAAATTTAATATATGCAAAAAAATAGAAATAAAAATAAAAATAATGACTTTTATATTTTTCTTTCTTGCCCCCGTTTGTTACGCGTTTTTGTTAAAATTTTCTCCGCCGTTAGATGACATCATAGTTTTGTGCCACGTAGCCACAGTAGGAGGTGACGTATGCAAAATCACCTATATAAATAGACCACTCTGCCTCTACAAGACTGCAATTAATTAACCACTACGGGCTCCAAAACGACGCCGTCCCGAATCCCCATGGCCCGACCCGGAAAACTTATCGGATCCCGGGCTCTCCACCCGCCCGCTCGCGGCGCAATCAAACGTCAGATTTTTGCGTCTCTCAGTCGAACCTTCTGGAACTTTGTTTCCCGGCTGTGCGCCGGCGGTGACGGATGATGTCATTTTCCGGCGAGTCTCTCTCTCTCTCTCTCTGCAATTATTTTTTCGATTATGTTTTTATTGATGCAAAGGGTGTGTTCGTTTGTAGAATTTTAACAAAATTCTACTATTCATTTAATTTTTTCTCTCCAAAAATATCAAATCAAACATCTATTTTTCAATTTTTTATATTATACTAAAAATTAATTTTACATTCAAAACGTCGTATCAACACCTATTTATATCATATCATACAACTATTCAAATTCAAAATTTTTACTATTCAAATCTCAATTCAAAATCCAAACCCCAAACAAACACACTAATTGTGTATTTTCGATTCTGCAGATTCCATTTCCGGCCAAAGAAATGACACGTCGTTTGTAATTGTAGTTGTGTTATATATTACCTTGTCCGTCGTTCTCTGTAATTTAGTTTTCATAAAATAATTTATTTTTTTTTTAATTTTTTATTTTTAAAGATTGGATTAAGATAGTTTGGATTTACTAAGTATGCTGTGAATTTATTCCCGAATATTTTGAATTTATCTACAATCTAGTATACAAAAATACGATAATTATCGGAAGCAAATTTTGAATAAAACCAATATCAATAATACCGTAACGAAATTAAAAGAAATCAAACAAATAAAAGCAAAGGCATAAATCTGCAATTGAAAAACAGAAGCAAACAAACAGAACCTAAAACCAATTAAAGGAAATTGAAATCGATTTAGGTTCTTCCCTGTTCGCGTTCTTCATTCTGACGACGACGATGATTCACGAAGACGACGACATCACCGGCGAACAACAGCGACGGGAAGCAACTCCAGTTTCTCCGGCAAAGAGCAGATTGACGATGGCTCTCTTCTTACGGACATCAGCATCCTTCGATTTCCGGCGACTCCGTGCAGCGATTGCACCTCCTCCTGTGACGACACAGCTAGGCAGCGGCAGGGCATCATTCGGTGGTCGGCGATTCCTCTGACTATCTCCTTCGGCGACGGCTTTCGGACTAACCAGCGGCTGCACCGATCTTCTCCGACGGCGTTAGGGACGCACCGTTCGGCTTAGTCCATGGTGCGAAGTGGCCCGAGGTAATCATAAGGTCGGCACGTCACTCTAAACTTCGACGCCCACCGGAATCGGCACAAGAAAAGGATTCCGAACCTCACCGAAAACTCACCGGAATCGCTTATGGTTTTTCTCCCTCTCCATGGTCTCACCCTCCTATCTCTAATCCTCTCAATCTCACTTTTCACTCTCAAAACGCCCAAACTAATTTCTATTTAAACCCTCCTAACATACTAACCAATTAACAAAGTCAACAAACTAATTGTGCTTAAGATAAGGTGGGTTTGGATAAATGGATTTGGTTTAAAGGATTTGGACCGATCCGATGGGTCGAGCTACGGAGTGGATCAACTAATTATTTATAAAGGGACTTGTCGAATTAGTCTTCGAACGGCCAAAATTCCCAACAAAATAGTTGACCTTGAACTGTTGTAGGCAGCAGCTGCTGTTGGGCTGTGCTGGTTTTGGAGTTCTAGGACCTTCCAGAAACACATGCGCTGACTTGTTTTGTCGCAGGTCAACCCCGCTTATCACTAAATGATTTTTGTTTGAAATTTTCTTCCGTCCCAAATGTAAAAAATTATTACCTTTTTAATTTTTATATAATGGTAAATTATTAGTTTTTTTGGATGATGTGGGAACAAGCCCGCGGAATTTGAACTCATAACCTCACGATCACAAGTCCAAATCCTATATCATCAGACCATCTTTTACCGAACTATAATGGTTCATTTGGTATAAAGAACAATAAATAAAATTGGAGAAAAAAATAATAATAATAATATGAATAATATTGTTGATAATAATAAAAAGTAAAAATTAATTTTAAGATTTTAGTATGTGAGAATCTATATGAAAAACATTATTGATAATTTTTTAAATTTAAATAATAAATTAGATGTGTTCTTTTTAGTTGGTAATGTAATTAAAAAATAATGGTACAAATTAAATAATTGAATAATAAATTAGATGTAATATCCTACTTTTAAAAATTATCATATTGAATATATATTTTTACAATATATAAAATCAGATATTGAAGTTTTTATCATTTCATATATTTTTTAAAATATTCAAAACTCCTATTTAAGGATTTGTTCTTTTTTTTTTTTTTTTCCTTTTTTAATTTAATTAATTCAAACCGTTCTAAATAAGCTTTTTTATTAAAATAATATTTACATTAAAATTTCAATTCCGTATGTTTTTCCTTAAAATAAA